CCCCAAAACCCCAAAACCCCAAAACCCCAAAACCCCTATTTAATATTTAACTGTTGAGGCTACATTTTAAATAATGGAATTTAATATTGAGGGAGATTGGTTCTTTCCACAAGAATATTATAGTAAGTGATGGTGTATTATGAGGGATAAGAAGATGTTTCTTACTCAACTAATATAGGAAGAATCCTCATATCAGTGTTCAATCTCAATACACTTCTCGAATACTTGTTTGTGTTCTGGCTTGCTGGCACTTTCGGAGGCCATTTCTGGGGAGCAATTATTCTATTTTTCTTTCACATCAGTAAGTCGGTTATATGATATATAGGTACAACTGTGTATTCTCACATAATAAATTATGCAATGATGGATCAGATTGAGTATTCAGAAGAAATAATCGAGGTCAATAAAAGTTCTTTTGAGGGATCGTAAGTAGCTTTTGAATAAAGTATTTGCTGTTTCAGAAAATCAAACATTTTAAACAAAATTATTTTCGGTTTTAAAATTCTGTGTTTATTTTTGCAAGATTAAATCCGACATTCTAGGTTCAAATTTTGCTTGATTATCTTCATCACTTGAGATTGAATCCCAACCAGATATCTGAGCAAAGAAAAACTCAAAGAGATATTAGACTTTCATAAGAAAACTTATGTCTTTCTTTGGCTGGCTAAAGGAGTTTTATTATTTGTTACTTTGATAACTTACCCCTTTTTCTGAGAAGATGGAGAAGATATTGCTGTCTATATTTTCTTCATGCTTTATTATGGAACAAACATTTTTTATCCATATACGCTGGTTACTTCGTATTATTTGTTCATTTTCATGTTGTTTATTCCTTTAATCCCAGTAATTGTATTTTATTTCTTCTTGTGTTTCCTGATTTCAGTTTGCAAGATACCAGTTGATTGCTATCTTGGAGTATTCGGAAGCCCTGTTACAAACTTTGATGAATTTCACTCAATTCGCCTTGATGGTAGGATCCATCCAGTAGATATAATGCCGCAAGTCCCTCATATTCCAATTCCCAATCAATCTGAAATGATAAAATTTTCTGCAAGTAAATTGAAATTTGATTTCTAATAATAGGATCCTTTTCTTCTTCAGTCAGAACTAGTCATCCCGAAGATGGGCCTAGACTTCCAATAAGAAATATTAATGATGAAAGAAAAGAGCAGATTCTCAATGACGGCCAAAATATTTTGAATGAAATTAGACAAGCCCTCATTAATAGAAGAATTAGAGCAAATGAGGTAGATGAAGTTTCTCGTCAAGTCTTCTTGGACTGGGTTCAAGATTTGACACAAAACGATAATACAGATTCAAGTGCATGACCTATTTGTAGTGAGCAATTACTAAGAGATCAAAGAGTAGTTTTTCTTCCATGAAGTATGACATCAAGAAGACATAAGTCTCATATCTACTGAATCAATGAATGGCTAAGAAGAGACAAGAGATGTCCAGAATGAATGATCTATATCAGAAATACAGTAATGGCAATGAGCACTAATTTTGGTTGTTTTCTTGATAAAATCAATCAATAAACAAAAAATTTGGCATAAAATCACCTTTACCCAAAAATACTACCAATTACATCACCCTGACTAACCTTCTACCCTCAATGGGGTTTTGGGGTTTTGGGGTTTTGGGGTTTTGGGG